GATTTTAAAGCGATTCTATATGGATAAAGCACATCCATTGAGTACCTCGATGGTGGTGAGATCACTTGATATAAAGAAAGATCCATTCCGACCTCATGAAAATGATGAAGAGCTTCTTGGTGCTGAAGTACCATATCTTAGTGCAATTGGGGCATTAGTGTATCTTGCCAATAATTCTCGACCAGATATAGCTTTCTCAGTAAGCTTATTGGAAAGATTTAGTTCTTCGCCAACACAAAGACATTGGAATGGTATTAAACATATATTCAGATACCTCCAAGGGACCATTGATATGAGTTTATTTTAATCAAATGGATCCAAGTCATCATTGATTGGTTATGCAGACGCAGGATATTTATCCGATCCCCATAAAGCTCGATCTCAGACAGGATATTTGTTTACAAGTGGAGGTACAGCCATATCATGGCGTTCAACGAAACAAACTATGGTTGCTACTTCTTCAAATCATGTAGGGATAATAGCCATTCAAGAAGCAAGTCGAGAATGCGTTTGGTTGAGATCGATAACTCAACACATTCAGGAAACATGTGGTCTCTCTTCGAAAGGCAATATTCCAACAATATTGTATGAAGACAATGCTGCATGCATAGCTCAACTAAAAGGAGGATACATCAAAGGAGATAGAACAAAACACATTTCGCCGAAATTCTTTTTCACTCATGATCTTCAAAAGAATGGTGAAATAGACGTTCAACAAGTTCGTTCAAGTAATAATTTGGCGGATCTGATCACTAAGGCATTACCAACCTCAACATTTGAAAAGCTGATATACAATATTGGAATGCGTCGTCTTCGAGACATTAAGTGATGTTTTCATCAGGGGGAGTAACTACACGCTGCACTCTTTTTTCCTTAACCATGATTTTGTCCCACTAGGTTTTCCTGGTAAGGTTTTTCATGAGGCAGCAAGCAATGCATACGTCCCAATGGTTTTTTTAGTAAGTTCTTAATTAAGCACATTATCTTACATGGACATCCAAGGGGGAGTGTTATAAATAGTTTGTAGATATGGGTGCCCATATATGTGAATAGCTTATGGATGAAATCTCCTACTTTATGTCCATCCCATTCACTATTTACAATAGTAAGTCTTCTCATTTTATACCTATAAAAGGCTATGTAAGTTTGAATGGAAGACACACAAAAGTGAAAGAAGAAAAGACTTCTTTCTTCTTTCTATCTCTTCTAATTTATATTTTACTGCATTGCTTTTATTTTATAACAATAATACAATTTTTTTTATTTAGTGTAAAGAAAAAAATCTTATGAGATATAATTAACTTTCAATTTTTATTGCATTAAAAATCAATTCAAATTCTAGGGAAAACATAAGTTATTGCATATATATAAGTTACCAAAATGTTAGGAGATACAATTAATTTTTGATTTTTCTTGCACTACAATTTCTTTTCTCAAATAGCTTCCTAATAACTAACTCTTGGAGCATTGTCTTGACCAATGCCAAGTGGCTTATTATTAGGCTGAGACGTGGCTTAATATGGATACGTGTTGAATTAATTTTTCAAAAATAAAAAGTAACTGAATATTATTGATAAATTTACACAATTAAAAATTACGTAACACAATAGAATAAAATTTAAAATTAATTTTTTTAAGAGTAATAAAATATATATCTTCTATATTATATTAAAAAGAGAGTAGCAGAAAAAAATATTAAACAAGATAATGCGCTAATACAAATTTATATTAACAATGTTAAAATACTGAATATTGGATAATATAATACAAAATATAGAACAACAAAAGTTCTTATAACTATATAAGTCTCCTTTGTGATTTTATAGATATATTATTATTGGATGTATTGTATTGACAAATGAGATGTCAATTGAAATTTGTTAAAGCAATATAATCTAATATGTTCAAACAATTTCGATCATAATTTAATTTAATTAATATTTTTAATAGTGACCGCACACGACTACTAGTGTCAAGAATGATGCAATCTTGAATAGAAAATCATGTCTGTACAAATGTTGGAGAACCAAATGAATCGTTTATTTGGTCGAAGTGTATCATAACCTTTAATTTTATGTTAGGTGAGAGATTTTACGGCATAGCTATTTTCAAGAGTAAAAATCATATTTATATCTTGAAATTTGGTAATATTTACATTTCTTTCATTACCTTTTTGTGAAGTTCCTTAAAGTATTTTCCGTACGCAGAGACTATTAACGGGCATATTTATAGTCGTTCTTGGGATAGAATTAGATGCCACCGAGGGGCTGTTATGAAATATTATATTATATAGTTGATGTCTATAACTTTTAAAGACTTACTTTCACTATTCTTTTCCATTAACCTTCCACCACTTCTTATCATTATGGTTGTAATTCTCACATCTCCATAACCTCGTCTATCAGAGTCGGAGCTAGGATTTGAAACTTATGGGTGAAGGATTCTAGCTTTTTTAAGTTGCTGGGTTCTAACTTAAAATTTGTGCATATTCAATGATTTTTTCAAAACAAAATAAAGTTTGGACTAAAGCTAATTGGGTTCGGCCGAACCCATAACCGAAGGGCTGGCTCCGCCCCTATTCTCTATGATCTTCCCCCATGATCTCATGTGACCAGGGGCGGATCTACAGTGATAGGTATGGGTTCCCGGGAACCCAGTAACTTTTGCCTAGACCCTGTATTTATATTAAGAAATCATTAAATGTATAAGAATATTTATATGGGAACCCAGTTACATAGTGTTTTGCTGGTTCAATGGTAAGGTGCGGACTCCAAAATGATTTTCCGTAACCCACAGTGCAAGTTCGAATCCCATCAGCTTACTTTACATTTTTCATATTTTTTGGCACAAAGTTTTATGCACTTTTTGTCAAGTAACAACTTTTAGCCTTCACCTTTACGTGTAAAGCCTTGTTGTGACTCAACCCTTCTGGTGGCAGCTCATCTTCATGAAAAGTGATCTTGTGACTTTCCAATACCTTTCCCACCATGTTAGCCATCTCTCCGCCGGTGATGTTGCTTGGCACATATGCTTCACTCAACACTCTTAACAAGGCATTCTTGTGTGCATCGACATTTTGTAGCAAAGCAAGGATGGAAATTTGTGCCGGTGTTTTGTTCAGCTGATCAACGATCGAGTATTCTTTGGCTTGTATCTTTCTCTAGAGATCGTCGGGCTTCGGTTTCTGTGATGGTTTGCTTACTGAGGCCTGCTTGCTTGACTCAGCCAAATGTTCCGGGGTATAACGTGAATCCTGGATGAAAAGAAACAAATTTTAGAAGTATCCTTCCTAACTTTACGTGATCATGTGAGAAGACATTACAGCATTGGAAGAGGGCTGGTCACTCGAGAGATTTGTTTTTCCAAAACACAATTGTTGGTGAAAATTGCGTCATTTTAATGCTGAAATGGTTTATTACTTATCATATCGGACTGGTTAGAATATAGTATTTAAAAAGATGCAAGCGTTTTGCTTAATGTTGTTACTTGTTAAAATGAGCATTATGGAGGCCATATGGAAAAAAGTTGGTGATTTTGCTTACAAAAGATGCGTTTTAGGGCTTGGAATAAAGGCTATAGAAAGGCTTAATGCAACATGTATGGGTGAACAGTGAATTACTTCATAATCGCCACGTTCGTTTTGCAGATGATGTTACCGATTTATTGAACTCAGCACAGTCTATTATAACCTTCCTTTGGCTAACAAACGCGGAACAGCTAAAAGTGGAGTATCGACGTTCGCTTGAATGCTCAACATTGACTGTTGCTAAGGTATCTTTTTTGAAGAAGAAGATCGCCTTTTCGAGGTGCACGGAATAGACAGTGAAACTACTTTCTTCCTAGAATCCGAGAGGAACTTCTGAAGATCTCTTAAAGTGGTTGCCGGATACAGCAAGGCAGATGTAAAAAAGAGTGTGATAGAAAATGCCTACCAAAAAATGATATCATCGTATTTGTCCAAGTATAACAAAGACATTGTAGATCTTGTGCAAAAGAAACATTTGAAGGCAATTATTAAAGACTGTGAATGGTGACTGGTGAACTTTGGATATTGGTTGATGAGTCTAAGATGTGCTCTCATAAAGAAAATGGCGTGGTTTGCGTTATGTCGAATGAAAGCAGTAAGTTACTTGAGCGATTCCTCGCTTGGTGTCCATGTTAAGATACATTGAGAAGTCATTGAAAGAAGCAATTTGTTCTTTGCTTACTTGGAAACATATGAGCTACTCAAATACGGGGACAGGGCTACGTGGAGCTAGGTCATGCAGGGTGAATTAATGGGCCTTAGACTTTGCATATGAATGATATCCTTCCGCAAATTGCCATACATTGGTTCTTTGCTAAATCAATTGCAATTGAACTCTTTGTGGCTGTGTGGCAAGAGACATTATTGAGGCAGAACAATCTGTTTTTAATATTCTTGCAAATGTTTTAATAGAGTCTTGTTGCGCAGAGTCAAGCGCGATGCATTCGAGAGTGCAATAAAATGCAGAAAAGCTGGGAGGAACTACTCAGGCTTGGAAGTTCAGTACGGGACGGCTATAATCAAAGACTTGGACTTCAAGGGCAGAGGTGATACTCGCTGGGGTTCTCATTTAAGAAGGTGGCGTAATTAGTTATTAGTTATTCTATCATCGTTTTCATGTACTTGGGTATCTTTCAATTGAGGGTTCAATTATCATGAGAGACTCAATGGCAAAAAAGTCTAGTGGGACGACATAAATCATGATAGGTTCGTATATATTGCAGGTTTAAGATGTTGAAAGTACTGTGGACACTTACCATTGGATGTAAATTGGGCTTTGTCAAGAAAAAAGATCAAAGAAGTATTGTAAGTACATGAAGCTTGTGGTTTCAAGAGACAGTATGCAGAGTTTGAGAAAGATCATGGATGTTATTCTTTGGTAGATTAGAAGTCTCTGCTTTAGTGTTTGTGTCAAGGGCTGATATTCGTGATCACGGAAATGATATAG